ATGATAAACAAACAGCCAAAAAAAACAAAAAAACCCCCCCCCCCCCCCGGCCCCCCCTTCTTTCTCCGAATAGAACGGGGGTATCATCATATATCTGTGTCTGGCCTTAGCATGGGTCTGCATACAGGTATCATTCCAGCACTCCATTTGGAAGAAGATTGTAGGCCTTCAATAATCCCAACCATTCATCGACTTCATTATTAAAATCGTTAATATAATTATTGAACTTATTTTCTAATTAGTTAATTAATTAATTGATTAATTGATTACATTTAGCTGGATTGTTGACACCTTTAACAGTTTGTGTATTTACAAAGCCAGGCATCCTGATTTGCCCAGGCCCACAGTGAAGGAATGGCCCGATGAATTGCTGCAACCCGAAAACAGCAGAGGGCTGGCCCATTCGGAGATATACATTTCGATATTTGATGCTTACCCTCCCCCTGTTATCCTCATTGCCTCGAGCTCCTCCACTTCCTGATGCAACCCCCTCCACATACTCAGAGCCTTCCCATTCTTCCCTTTCCAAGTCGCCAACACCGCCGTGTCCATTTTGCACGTCTCCTTCTCCTCCCTCTCCTTTAGAACCTGTGTTGTCACGTGGACGCCGCAGAAGGATCCTTCCAGGAAAGGTCCGCCCTCGAAGCAATCTACATACATTCAGGTATCAATGACGACAACAGCCCCATCAATCATTAATTAGTGTTTCAACCGACGGGCACCTCATCATAATCATCACCATCATCATCAGTGTGATCATCAGGCAGCAGCAGCTGCAGCATTGGCATCACAATTATGTTATTGAAACCATCACCACAGTAAATTTGAATACCAACAACCACTAATTACTGTTGCCATCATCATAGCAACTCTGAACACCGTACACAATATTCATTGCAAAGCTTCCTTTCCCAGTCCCTATCAGCCACAATCATCCTCGACACACACCCACTTGACCAGCTCCTTACTGGATCACTTCGTATTGTCAATTCCCCCCCCCCCCCCCCCGCCCCCTCCTCCTTACGGTCTGAATGGATAAGATATGTATAGCTTCTTGGAACGTCAGGGGGCTAGGTGACACCAATGGGAGATTCAAAAGAAGAAGGGTGAAGAGTTGGGTTCACGAGTGGAGAGCGAACTGTGTTACTGCAGGAGACGAAGCTATGTGAGGACAAGATAGGAGACATGGGACCGTGGTGGGACGGGCCTAAAGTATGGGCCCCGGCCCAAGGCACTAAGGGGGGCGTGGCAATCCTGCTACATTAGACTTAAAAGTGAAGGTGTTGGACTCAGAGGTAGACATGTGGGGGCGCTGGGCATGGCTCAGGCCGGACGTAGGCTTGGAGGAGTGGGGTATCATGACTGTGTATGCCCCCACGAACTCCGGGACAAGGGCTACTTTCTTTAAGAACTTAATGCTTCACATTCCAAAGCTCAACAAGATAATTCTCCCCGGAGACTGGAACAGGTCTTTGATGATGCGATGCAGCCAGGCTCAACCACAATGTGAAAGCAAGACGTGCAGGTCCTTGATCTCACAGCGGAACTCTCTCTCGCAGACTCATACCAAATTTGAATCTGGAAGACCCCGGTCACACTTCGTTCTCTCATTTGTACCGAGATAGGCAGCCCATCACACGTCGCCGGCTGGACTACTTCCTTGTGGGGGAACAGCTGAAGGAAGGGATCACGTCAGTAAAGCATATCGGCAACCCCATCTCCGATCATAAGCCCATACTTGCAGACATCAGACTACAGATCAGTGTAGAAAGGGGACGCGTTTTTTTCAGACTGAACAACCAGATACTGGAAGAACCAGGGGTAGGTGAGTGGGTGGAAGATGATATGCAAAGGTGGGAACATGCAAAACAGTACTTCGAGACTGCAGCGGAGTGGCTTGACAGCGGGCTGGCAATCATCAGCGGAGTTATGGATGTGTGTTCACGAATCTTAGCAAAGAACCGGAATGTGCAGGAGGCAGAACTGCAAAGGAGGGTAGAGGAGGCGGAGGAGCGGATGGAAGGCCACCCGATCTCAGCGATCATACGGGCAGCGGAAAGAGAGCACAGGTTGGTGGAGTGGGACAACCTGCAGAAGGAAAAACAGAAAAGGTGGACAGAGGTATTGAAGGAGAAACGTATTGAGACCCATGATGAAATGACGAAAGATTCCCTTCGATGCCACAGCCCCTCTAGCCTGTTCATCTCCTGGAATGCTACAATATGCAAAACAGTATTATGAAGACATCCTGACGACCAGACACGCCCTCATGAAGACATTCACACGGATCTGTCCGAGAGCTCAGATATGTGGATCGACACGACAGTCAGCCTAACAAGGACAGCGAGGCTGAACTTGGATAGGCCACCCACTTACAGTAGAAGAGCTGTTAGAAACTCTCAAGTCAATAGCTCACGGTAAATCCCCAGGCATTTACAGTTTGACAGTAGAGTTCTACATCAAGAACTGGCCCGTTTTGGGCTCAGTCTTGTTGAACCTCTACAATGACATCCTAGGTGGAGGACGCCTCGGCAAGGGAATGACACATGGCGTGATCTCGATGCTCTTCAAGAAAGGAGATAGAGCAGAAGTGAGGAATTTGCGCCCGATTTCTCCTGAATGTGTCCTATAAAATCCTGTCGAAATCCTTGGCAAGGAGGCTAGTGAGGTTCCTACCAGACTTAGTGGAAGGGGATCAAGGAGCATTTGTTCGGGGGAATATTGTCACTGCAGTTGAAGTTTTGGAAGTAATCCAGGCGGAGGATTTGGATGTCGCAGTCCTTCTCGATTTGGAAAAAGCTTACGACAAAGTGGGATGGACTTTCGTCCTCACCGCACTGAAGAAGATGGATTTTGGCGACAGCTGCTGCAAATGAATCACAGCGATGTGTACTCTATCCACGTCGGCGGTCCTAGTGAACGGTCACTTGCCGGACTCATTTAAACTCACTCGCTCACTGAGGCAAGGGTGCCCTCTCGCTCCACTTCTGTTTGTACTGCAAATGGAAGTTCTCCCGAACCGAATAAGACGATGTCTGCTGATCAAAGGTCTGCAGCTTCACTCCGGAGCAGACACTCCATGCTATCCGAAGCCTCCGTCAATTGGAGTGAGTCAGCTTACCTTCCAAAACGATATGAACTTAAAAGTAGAGTGGGGCATGAAGCGCATTGAAGACAGCGAAGAAGAGAGATTTTTCAGTGTTCTCATCTGTCTGCAGGTGGAATCCACAACACAGGGCCTTGTCCTACAACAACGGATCACTGCTAGACTCAGGATATGGGGGTCAGCTTGGCATTTGTCACTCATCGGGAGAGCCCTAGTCGCCAACTTGGCACTCCTTTCCATCCTTTGGTTCGTTAGTACAATGAGGAACATTCCGGAGGGAGTTATTAAAGCAGAGAAGAGACAGGTGGCCAGATTCGTTTGGAAACCAAGAGCGCAGGAGAGGGCTTTCTCATAAAGATATCATGGGAAACACTCACCTCCCCGCGCGCTCAAGGAGGTCTGGGCTTGGTAGACCCAGCGCGGAAGAATCAGGCACAACTCACTAACTGGATCTGCAAAATAGCAACAGCCACAGTCAAGGAACACTGGGTGGAGCTAGAGCGCAGTCTGATGATCGAATGGGACCTGAGAAAACCTGAAGATGTATGGGCCTGCTGGTTTATGAAGTCTTTCTGTAAACGCAGCCTGAAGTCCAAGTTTTGGAATGAGATACAAAGAGCATGGAATAAGTCCCCTCCAACAGTGCGCTCCGCTCCAACCTCCAAAGACAACCCACGAATTACAAATGCAGATGGGATTCCATATGCTGCTGATGCCTCTACCAGGACTTTTGGTCTTGCCTGGGTCTCCTGAGGAGTGCTTCGCATTAAAGATCTGTGGCCCTCTGTCCTTGGTGGTTGGCGTCCATTTGCGGAACTCAATTTGGAGCTGGCGGGCCTTAAACCGCTAGTACATGGCCCCAGCCTTGCAGAAAGTTTTTGTCGCCACAAGCAAAACTCGGAGGCGCCGCGCGGCCAGGCCCACCGTTGAAAAAAAAATCGGCGGCCTCCGAAGTGGTGCGGGTTTCATGCTGACACCCGCAGGCCGATATGTGGTGTACTGGTGCTTTAAGAATACACCAGAGCGTTGGCAGCAGCTTACAGCCTCCATTCCACAGGACTGGCTGGATCTCTTAGGTCCAGAGGGGCTGGATCCACCAGGAACTTGGTATGTGTCCGATCTGGAAGAAGACAGGGACGTGGTTTGGAAAATGGTGGAAATCCTACCCAGTGGCTTCAGAAAAGTGGAGACATGGAGATGTGAGAAGCACACAAACAGGCTGGCCTATGAAGATGAGGGCGTGATCATGATATGGAACAATCCCCCCGCCAGATAAGAGTGATAGAGGCGAAGGCCGAAGCGTCAGCGGCCCGAACTCTCTCCTGGGTCGGCAGGATCCCCCTGAACCAACTGAACATCGATCCACAGGCCTGGGGGTGGGCTATGGTCCATCGATCCGCAGGCCTTGGGGTGGGCTATGGGCCATCGATCTGCAGGCCTGGGGGTGGGCTATGGGCCATCGATCCGCAGGCCTGGGGGTGGGCTATGGGCCATTGATCCGCAGGCCCGGGGGTGGGCTACGGGCCTGGACAGTACTACAGTCACCCTCGTCTCAAACTATACCGTGGCGAAGGGATACAGAGTCAGATTGAAAGAGAGGACCACCCCCCTTGGTGAAAGACAGGAAATCCCCCTTGGGCAAAAGACAGGACCCCCCCCTCGGCGATCGCAGTCCGAAGATGGCAAGCCGTGAGAAACTCTGGAAATTACTTACGCTGATCTGTAACGGGAAACAGGTAAGTATCCTATATCTGTTGTCTCTGACGTTGTCACCTTCAGCAATTCGGTTGCTGAGCAAGGGAGTGGAGGTGGATTTGAAATGTTCCAGATGTTGCTGGCTTTTCGAGTCTACCCGCCATCTCTGGTGGGTATGCCCAGCCTCAAAACGAATCTGGAAATGGTGGCAGAGCCACCGGGTTAAGTTCGGAGATGCAAGGGTCAAATGGGACGAACGCTGGGCTTTACTGGGCTTTCTCCCAGATGCTGTGGAGGGCAAGAGCGGGTGGGGTTTCGTTGCCCACGCTATCAAAGGATTAATCTGTAAAGTCATCTGGTCCGACCGTAACAGATAAAGGCTCCAGAGGAGACCAATGTCAGATCTGGAGATCAAGGCGCACACAAGGAGTGAGGGAAAGCCATAAGAGTGGACTGGAGAAGAAGAGCAAGATCCGGCAATGGCAGTGCCAAGCAACTGTGATGGTTCCTGTGCACCACAAGCTTGCTGCAGTCAATAGAGAGGGCAACCTATTTCTGTATCCTTGGGTGCTTGAAATCCGAGGGTATGATTTAGCTCCAAGTAACATTCGTTAGTTAGTTTTAGCCTGCCGAACCTGGACACTTGGTTCGTCCACCTACTCTGCAATGGACCACAGGAGGCCAAAAGTGGGAGGATGGCGGTGAGTGTCACAGCTCGACTGGAACTACATTGTTCCAACCAGCCGTGGAGGCTGGGTCAGGCCGTTCTGTAGGCCTGTGTATTAGGAGGTTGAATTACGTTAAGTGTTCTTTAGTGTGCAGGCTTGATAGCAGGACTCAGTTTCATCG